CAGTATTCTTCCCAGTCCACGGAAGATTTCTTCTCCCAAAGTAATTTTTATGACCACTCTAGTATCTTTAAATAAAATTGTCTAGTTAATTTCTCCTAGTTTCTCTTTGATTTCTGGATACAGATTGTTGGTGGTGGCTCTGTCTTCGGCCGGTGGCCTTCCAAAAATGGAATGCGACCCTAGGAACTTTTCACTTTCTCTGGCTCAGTTGTTTGCTAGTCATCTTTCCCTCTGTTCTCACCTTTGCCCTCCCATACTTATGGGTACCACTGCTGCGCCAAAATGTCCGCTTACTGGCGTTTCTTGGGTGTCGCAGGATTTGCCAAAGCCAGGTGCTGGGCACTAGAGATGCCTTTCCCCCACCGGTATCACCTGATGAGCAGGAAGCCACAGCGCTCAGGACGGAGGTGCTCCTGGTAGACAGGGGCTGCCACACACGGGGCAGAAATGGAGCCAGTGATGACTGCGCCTTTGCCTCAGGCCCAGGTTGCATCAGCCGGCCTGGAGGACAAGATCTCTTTACCCTCCGTACCACCCAGAGGACTCTCCTTGGATAAGCTAACACGGAAGGGGCCACGTGTGAACTCACAAGTGATCACTCTGTTTTAAAATAGATTGCTGTTCAATATTTTGGGGCTGGTATTTCCAATACCAGATAAGTGCCTGCCTTTCAGACCAATATGGCCTCTGCTGTGGCAAAAGGCCACGGAGCACAGGGTGGTTGGTGTGCTAACTCATGCCTTTTGTGGGCGACCTTCCCCGAATCAGGGCAGGTCTGCCTCAAGGGCTCTTTTCTTTCACTAAGGCTGGCTGTACTAGCTGCATCTTCCTCATGCGTAACCTTGAAAGAGTGAAGAGAGGGAATCTCTAAAATGTTGAACACAAATTCCTCTGTGTCCCAAAGAGCAGTACTTTTCTTCATTACAGAGTGAAAAACATCAGATTAAGTGGTGTCTGAAGTTAAATTTAGATGGCAACACAGAAGTGAAAATGCTTCCTTTCTTCCTACCGCCCTTGGAGTTTTGCTACCTAGAAGAGAACACCATGGGACAAAGGCCAGGGCCCGAAGAAGAGCAGCGTCCGTATGACGACAGGCACCAAAGAGAGGGGCCGGTGGAAGTCGTACGTCCACACCCTCAGTGATGGACATGCAGGAGGACTCTGCCAGTGGCACGGTCCCCAGCAGATGGGCAGAGACTAGCCAGAAAGACGGAGAAGGAAATAAGAGCTTAGAGACAAAGGAATACAGGAGCAGGTTACTGTGAGCGCAACAGGAAATGGGATTTCAGACAGAAATGATGGAAAACGTTTTGTAATGTTAAATTGTTTACATATTAGGTTTAGTGTACCATGACCAATGAGTTCCAGAAAATCTTTCTTCACCTTTGGGACCATCTCATGGAGATCTAACATATATAGTGTTTTCAAACGTCATTGCTATGGGCGGAGTGTTTGTGCTTCTCCAACAGTCATTCGTTGAAGCTCTCATGTGTAATGTGTCGGTGTTTGGACTTGGGCCTTCTGGAGGTGCCTAGGTTTGGCTCTCTCGAGGGTAGGGCTGTCCCTGCCTCCCAAAGGGTTAGTGTCCAAGCAGAGCAAGACCAGGATTCTTTCTGTACTTGCTGTGTGAAGACAGGGAGAAAGAGGCCATTTGTAAGTGAAAAAGAGGCGCTTAGCAGGAATGAGCGTGGCCACCCTCTCACTTGCTTTTTTAGCTCCTCACCCTGCGAAGTTAATATCTGTCATTTGTGTCACCTGGGCTATGATCTTTAGTCATAGCAGCCTGAACTAAGACAATAATGGAGTCCACGAATGTGACAACTACTAAGGGTTCAAATGATGCCATGGTTGGAAGATATTTAAATGATCATTTCAATTTTGTCATTTAAAACAAATTGTGGAGCCAGCACTTTGTTCTTCCGAGGAGTTAGGTGCTTTGTACCTCCTCCTTCAGACCTTGGGCTGGAAGCCCTGAGCTCCTAAAAGCCAGAGTGGCTCTGCAGGGGCGGTGCATGAAGACAGCTGCTTCTGCAGTTTCTCCACCAGCACTTCTGGTCTGGGCTGCCTCGCCGGTAACTGAGGTCACTTAGCAAGCACCTTGACGGCTCAGGTCCCAAGAGTGTAACAGAGACCAGGTCCTGGAAGGACAGTTCTAAATTGCTTCCTGACCCATTCTAACATTGCTCCTTATTGGGCTCAGCATCATAAAACACCTCCTTCCTCCTCGCATTCTGGGAAGCTGAGGCAGGAGGATGACATTTGAGGCCTCACTGGGCAATTTAGCAATTTAGCAAGAGTCTCTGTCTCAAAATTAAAAACAAAACAAAACAGAAGGGCTAGGGTTGTAGCTCAGTGGTAAGAGCACCCTTGGGTGCCATCCCCAGCAACACACACACACACACACACACACACACACACACACACACTGCTTCCCATTCCAATGTGTCTGATGGTCCTGTCATACTCATTCAAAGGCCCTTCTTTTCCTGTCGTATGAGGAGGCCATTCCAGGAGCCTCAGACTCATCTGCCCCATGATCCTTAGCCACAGCGAGCACACAGTCGCCCGTCTGTGACTCATCTTCGCTGCTTCCTACCTCTCTTTGTTGGGCTTCACGTTGATGTCACCAATGATGTGGATGTCGGCAAATTTTATCCTAAATTTGCTCAGCAGAGAAGCCATGCTGAAAACAGAGGAGAAAAAAACACTTCGTCACTGCATGCTTAACTGATTTTTTCCATCAAAGTTGTTTTTGGTGTGTGTTTGAGTTAAGATATCAAAAACAGTCCTATCTTATTTCAGCCTTGCTTTTGGGCAGAGCCCTCTGGGTTTAGATCTTCAGCATTGTGATGCTTGCAGGATAGGACAGCGTGGAGCACGCTGTCCCCTGCAGGCAGAAGGAAGCTTTGGGGAAGAGGAAGCCAGCTCCGCATCTGTCTTTTGGGAATGAGATGGCAAAGCTGTCCACGCATCCCTGTTATGTGAAATCTAGCAAGTCTTCATGCCTGTTGGCTATTATCTTGCTGATAACTTTTAGAGTAATCAGTAAAACTGACAAATTAATAATTATTACAGCATTCGAAGCATTTTTCAGATTTTTGATATAATTTTAAAGTTATAGAAATATTATAGGGACCGTGCATGAAGGGAGCGCCCAGATTTACCAGCTGTTTATTATGTCCTGTTTGTCATTCTTCTATCCATGTGTCCAATATTTTAAAATAATTTATATAAACCAGATCGCTTGTATCCTTAAGTATTTCAGTGAGCAGTTTCTAAGAGTAAGGACATTCTCTTATGTAGAGTACAGTTTTTGTTGTTGTTGGAGACAAGGTCTAGCTGTGTAGTTCAGGCTGGTTTTGAACTCACGATATAATCCAGGCTGGTCTCAAACCTCTATAAGCTCCTCCTGCCTCAGCCTCCCAAGTTCTGGGATTACAGGTATGCGCCACCATGCCTGGCAATGAGTACAATTTTTTTTTTTTTTGTGGAACCGGGGATTGAACTCAGGCCCTTGCGCTTACCAGGGAAGTGCTTATTCCACTGAGCTATCTCCCTGGCTCCTGAGTACAATTTTTGAAAGCAAAATTTTTAACATAGATGACATGCTATCATCTCATCTTCAAACCATCTTCAAACTTCATCAGTACTAGATCAGTTCTACCATAGCAAAGTACTAGAGTTTGTAAGAAACCTAGATTAGTATAGATACCATGTTAGTTTCTATTTTATCATGATTCTCTTTAGAAGAATTAAATACGTAGAATACTAATGTATGTGCATTATATTGTTTTAATGGAAAATATTTATATATTCACTAATATGTGTGTGTGTGTGACATCCTCTTAAGAGAACAAAATATGAAAAACGAGGGGCTGGGAAAAAGCTCAGCTGTCTCTGCCTGAGTAGCAAGGTCAAGGTCCAGGATGGCACCATGTGTCATTCCGATCTTGGACCCCTCAGTGTGCTGTGACAGCCCTGAAACCAGGTGGCTCACACCTGCAATCTCAGCACTGGGGAGGCTGAGACAGGAGAATCACTGAGTGCAAGCTGTACAGTGCGACCCTGTACCAAATAAATACATACAAACATACAAATTTTTAAAAAATGAACACAAGCCTTGTCATTATTCTGTGATTTCTGGAAGTGCTTGAAGTCAGGATGACACTGGGCCACGCAGGACCGAGACTGCTAGGGGGTCCTCAGTTACCATCAGAGCCCTGAGACATGCCATGTTCGTAAAACTGCTTTCTGAGTAAAGCAATGTAATACCTCCAGAGCTACGAGCTGGGACTTCTTCTGTGAGTGACAAGAGCTCTGGCCAATCACTCATTTAGACTTTTTCGAGTTCTACACAAGATTCTGGGGACCCAGATCTGTCCACTGGCTGTCACAGAGCTGCTGAGCTCCTCGGTGACAGGCGTGGGTTTTGCGCTTAGCTCTGTTTCGCGTGCGCTGTGCTGCGACTGCCTGGCATGAGCGAGTGGCTTTGTGTTCTCCCCGGAGAAACACTCACACAGATTCTTCTAGGATCTGCCTCCCTTGGATGCGTTTACTAGTCAGAACAATGACCAACATTACACAAGATGCCAAATTCCTTTTGGAAAGCATTTGTGTCAGGGGATAAGGGGACTGGCAGACAGCGATTTGAAGAATTATGCTAATAATTTATTGGCCAGAAAACCAAGTAAACCTGAGATGCATTATGGTGGCTTTGTGCCTTAAATCTATCGTGCACTTAAGCCACTCAAAGCTCTTAAAATCACAACATGCAAGCAACTGACATCTGAAATGACGGAATTCGCCAAAGGGAAACTTCTTACGCGATTTTTTCTTCTTCAATGCGGTTGATCTTCCCTCCCACATAGATCCGTAGTTTACAATCTTTCCACTTTTTTCTAAGAGTCAAGATATAGGGGATAAGGAGTGTTAACCCTGAAACAAAGAGGAAATCAAGAGAGAAAAGATGAGTATCTCTCACTGAAAGAAAAGCGCCAAGTTTATATCTTCATGCATTCCTACATTCATGGCTCTTAAATAATTCACAACCTTTGAGAACACAGAAGCGTTATTCTTTAACTGGTACTGCTTTCATATGCCTTCCTGTGCAGTTGCTTAGTTTATCAAAACAGGAATTCTGCTCCCTACTGTGCATTCTGGAACATTCTGGAAGGGTTTTTTTTTTTTTTTTTACCTCCATCATCAAACAGCCACCAGACATCAATTGTTCCTTTTCCTTGTTTGTTTTTGAACTGAGTGCTGGCTTCCACCAGCTTCTGGTTGAACTCCCCCACGTGCCTCGACTGGAGGGTATTAATGCTGCTCTCTGAAATGAAAGGGACAGCCACGGGTCACTCTGTCTGTGAGTCTAGAAACAAAGTAAATTGCCAATAAACCTACTCATGAAAACAGAGGCGAGGCCATGAACTCATGTTTCTTTTTTTTTTTTTTTTTTTTTTTTTTTTTTTTTATTTATGAGAGAGAGAGAGAGAGAGAGAGAGAGAGAGAGAGAGAGAGAGAGGTGTGTGTGTGGCCAGCTCAGCCCACCAGGGGGCGGGGCTGGCTGGCATGTGGTGCTGGGGGATTGAACCGCGGTCCCTGATGCGTTGCTAAGCTTGTTCTAAGTAGGTGCTCTAGACCACTGAGCCATCTCTCCAGCCCCTCATGTTTCTTTATACCTATTGATAAAGAGCTCTACTCTTCAAAGGGCAGAGATAAAGGATGAGTCCTCAAAAATGTAGGCTCCCTCAATCATGAAATAAAACTTTGGTATTGGCCCTATGATCATAATTTTCGTAATAAAGCAGCAGGTTGTTTCCATATCCTTAACTAGTCTGTCTCGGGGTAGAATTATTGTTGAAGCATCACAGTGTTAAATAATTTGATATCCCAACTCGGATGCAAATCAAATGAAGTAACACTTTCAGATTTACTTGGAAATTGAGCCTGTAGGTGATTGGGCTTTCTAGAGATAAGCAAAAGCATCAAAAATATTCTTTCGTGGGATAATTCATTTATGGAAGCGCTGTTTGGGCGCAAGGTGCACGGAGGTCGATTCTGGAGTCGGCTGGGGAACATGCACATCGGAAGTTGGCACCTGATTCCACAGTTGGCCTGGGTCGTTATTCTTTTGCATTCTTTTCAAGGAAACGTTCTGTGAAGCCAAGGTAAAACCACCCCATAAAGGTATTTGACTCTGAGTTGCAAAAATCCAGGAGGCATAAAAAAGAAGAATCCTGGGCCAGGGAGATGGCTCAGTAGAATAAGTTCTTGCCTGGCAAGCACAAGGGCCTGAGTTCAATCCCCGGTTCAAAAAAAAAAAAGAATCCTGAGTTATAATCAAGGGTGCCCATGAAACACTTACAACAGTTTTTTAAAAATAAACTTTCCACTTGAATGTGGCTACAGTGCACGTGTTGAGCAGAAGCCTCGCTCCTGTCTGTCAGAAGGGTTTCCTCGCAGCCCCGTGTCATTTCTGTGCCTGTGAGGCTGACTTCATCGCGCCTTCATCTCAAAGGCAGCATCGGTGTGGGGTTCTGTGTCGAGAGACAGCCTCTCTGATCTGGCAGCTTCTGAGGACGGTTTGCTCTGGCTTTGCTTTCTTTGCCGGCTTGGGGCCTGTCAGCTCTGAAGTAATGATCTTATATTGCTTCTGAGCTGAGCCAGCAAGAAAGTAAATTCATGTTCAGAATCGGCGAAATTGCCCGCCCTCCCAGGCCAGGCAGAGGATGGCGAGGCGCTGCTGAGTTCCTGGAGAAAGGCTCCGTCTTGGTCTTGATCCAGAACCGGAAGCACGGCCACTACCTCATGCCCACAGGAACAAGCAGGCCCAATTTAGAGCTCTGTTTGAACTGTGGGTACCGGAAGCAGGGCAAGGCCTTCTGCGTTTGCTTTTCTGAACACAGAGATGGGCCGATCTTCAGAGAAGCGCATTTTTGCAATGTAGCGACGGGCTGCCGGGATTGGCAGCATGCCTGCTTCCACGCAAGAGGACGTCAGCGCTTCCCTCTCCCAAGCAGAAAGAAGACGGAATCAGGCCGCCCCTGTGGCACTTTTCATTGCTTATCTAGATTGAATCGCTGAACAGCACCTCTTTCCTGGATAATTAGTTTTTGCCACAATAAACCAAATAATTGGAAAGGAAGGAAGGCACTTTAAAAAGTTTTATTGTAATTTTTGCTCCGGGAAGTCCTGCTAGAACTCCAACTTTAGGCTCAAACATGTTATTTTTGTGGAAAGCGTCTTTTTTTAAAAAGTGAGTAGTAAGTAGAAAGTGCTCTCGCAGTCCCCGGGGTATCCCCAGAACCTGACGGTAACTCTAGCATTCAGAGTGGGATGATAATTGTATTCTCATCATTCTTTGTAAATATCTAAAAATTTCATAGACAGGTGAAACGTCATATTTGGCCCATGGAACACGCGAAAGAGAACCATACTATTAATTAGGTAGGAAATGGCCTTTAAAAAGGGCTGTCTACTGTCAACCTAACCAGAAGCCGCTAAGTCTTAGCTGAAATCCTCCAATTTCTCTTGGAGACACTCTCAGAAGAATAATCTTTCCCAGTCTCACACCAGCACATGACTTGAGTCATTTTAAGGTAGTTGGGTATTAAAAAAAAAATACGTGCAAGTGCTCTGATTTTCTACCAGCAGGGGTCGCTGTGGACCTCATTAAAAACCTGCAGGGGTTTTTGAAAAGGCAGTTTTTAAAAATCAGACATTTGAATCATCTATTTATGAAACCTAAATTTTCCCAAGTTTTGGTCCTCTGTCCTTGAATACGTTTCAGACATTCAGAAATAAGTTTACTATTTAAACCAAGAACTACAGATAATAATTCATGTCCCTTTGTGATGAATATTGCATGCTTGTTGTGAGGTTAGGGTTCCGGTTGGATGCCCCCTTAGTATACTAGCCAATTTTAGGTCCCGAGGAAGGTAACTGGGGTGTAGATAGGATAGTTTGAGTCCTGGTTCTTAAGTTCCTATCCTCTTCCCCTTTCAGTTAATACATCTTTTCTCTCTGCTGAAGTACTGAGTGAGGGGTGATCGAAATGCAGGATGAAGGCTTAAAACAAGAACAGTCGTTAGAGCAGAGGACATGTTGCCATTCATTCCCTGAGACATTCATTCCCTGAGAATGCTCCCCTTTGATGCGAACACAGTTCTTGTTTTGCCACTTTCTGGCGTTCTAGAAATTCTCCTCTCTGGACGCCTTTGAGAGGTACAATAAAAAGTACGGCGACTGCTGCAGCCGAGCTCTCCCCAGAGGAGGGCAGCTCATGAAAACGCCCCGCTGGGTCCTCCTCGCCCACCTAATTCGCCGGGCCTGGCACCACGTGACTCATGGCTCCTCCCCAAAGTCAGAACAACCACGCAAGAGAAGCGTGTTGAATCATTTCGGGACATCGAGGCAGGCAGGATGGCACCGCTGAGACCCTCAGCAAAGGGGCCTTCAGGGCTGCTGCCGAAAGCGCAAGGAACCAAGGGATGCGTGCGTGCGAAGCAAGCGCGAGATTAATGATGATGTGTCTTCTACTGCAGCAAATTTTTAAAAATTTAAACATTCCTTGTCGTTTCTGATCACACTTTGGATAACTCCCGAACCAACTACTGCTGTTTTATTTCGTTTCTTTTTTACTCTTTCCATGATGTTGTCATTTGAAAATCACTTTTTTACAGTAACATGGTTCAAAATACTTAATGATGGCGACAGACGATGGTACCCGCCACCTTTTACCTGTATCACTTCTCAAAGTCTTGGATGTGGGCTTCTGACTCCAAGGTGCCCACCCCCGTGGCTTACCTTCAAGTTCACGTGCTTGTGAGTTTCCAGCGGACTGACCTTTCTTAAGAGGTGGCTTGGTGATGTTCAACTTGCCGGCTTTTTTAAACAAGCCTCGGATGCCCCCGCCCCCGTCCTGGCACTCGCTGTCCTTGATGGTGGCTTCCAGCGCCAGCCGCTCCTGCTCCAGCCTCTCCAGCTCATCTGGGGGAAGCAGACCACATTAGTTGGGTGGTGCGGTGGCCCGCGTTTCCAGGGACAACCTAGAAACTAGCCTAGTGTTCATAATGGTGCTTACGGGGATGAAATGGTCATCAATGCACAACGTGATGTTTTCTGAATGATTTTTTTTAAAAAGTAACACATTTGAGTAAATTCTATTCAGAAAATAATACTATGGCTCAGAAACAGTAGTTACGATGGATGTGACTTGATTTGGGATTTGATTTCTGAGGGCAGCAGATGCTGCGTAATGCCTTCCTTGTTCACTTTCATCTCCAGCAAACAACCTGGGCCACCTTGCTCACTGTAGGTCCCTGATTCCCAGGCCCGCGCCACCAGGTTGGATGTTTTACAACTGGCAGCGACAACACCGCAAAGATACACCCAGGTTATGTCAGGTGCGCCGCAATGATTCCCCACTCCAGATGTCAAACTACAGAGCAGGAATGAAGCGAAGATGACCAAATCCTGCAACAAACTTCTCTGAACTCTCAGTACAGATTGCAGTGAAAACCAGCCGATACCCATGGCTTCTGCTCAGCAAAATACTCAGCAGAATCTAAGCATTCAAAGCTGAGATTCTGGGTGCCTGCCACAGTGGGAACGAGGCTCAGAGGACAGCGGGGCCTGAAATCAGCACTCCTGGCCCGAGGTGCAGAGCCCCGGCTGAGTGCTGAAGTCTGGGCAGGAGGCCCTTTTTATCTTTCTTGGATTCTGATTGTGACAAAAATTTCCTAGCTGCTGTGTAATATGTCACGTCACTCTTTGACCTCACCCTGTCCTGGGTCAGGGCAAATTGGGACTTAAAAGCAGTCTCATACTAGTGCCCCGCCGAGGAGCCCTTTGCTTACCCTGGGCTAGTGGAAAGCCTAGCTGCCTCGTCACAGGACCCCAGCTGGGCAGCTGCTCCAGAGCCTGCTGTCTTGTCTGTCTGTACAGTGAGGCTGCATGCGCTCCAGATCACGTCCCAACTAAACCTGTCAGGACAGGCCCATTCCTGGACGGTGCTGCTAGTCAGCTCCACGGAATCGTCAGGCCCCTGTCCAGGGCTTAGCAATTAATCTTTTGCCGGTGGCATGAGATTTGAGGTCAAATCACCCATGTGATTTCCCCAGAGCTTCAACGGTCCTCCAGATCAGCAGCTGTAGTGAACTGGAGAAATCAGGTGGTTGCTATTCAAGCGCGGATGGGAGTTGCTTCCCTCTGACATTGAAAGGGGCAGACAGACCATGTTGCTCAGAGTGTTGTGACCCAGGGTCTCTCTGTCCCCATGCCCTTATGTGACTTTAGGCAAGTCATGACGCTTTGCTGTGCCTCAGGTTTCCTATCTGCGAAATGGAAAACTGTGACCCTTTCCCACCCTACCAGTCTTTTGTGCAGTGCTTGGGAGCTTTGCAATGAACAAGCCAAGGATTATGGTCTATAGGCGGCCTGCTTACGCACCTGTGCACACGCGCCTGCGCATAGAGTATTGCGAGAAACCCTGGAGTTTCACAGTTATTGCTTGTTGCATGCTCTGGGGTGCAGGGAATGTACTGGGTTTTATTCTTTCCCAAGGAACTCTGAGAGCCTCGTTACGATTGTCCTCAAAGCGAAGCGCATGCGACCTCCAAAGGTTAAGTAACCCATCTGATACCACCTTGTGAATGGAGGGTTCGGGCGCCGGGGTGTCTGCTTGACTTCCAGGCCGGATGACCTGGCCCTGAAGACCTTCCTGTGGCCAGTGACTACCTGCGCACAGTCGCTCTCCTAACCCCCAACTCCCCATCGTTGGGCGAATTCGCAGGTACTGAATGCAATGCCAAGAGAGTTGCCGGCACTGCAGTCCTAGAAGATGCCATCGTGATGGGAGGGCTGTAAGGACGGGGGAGTCATGGGGAGGCTGCCCATGGTGGTGTGGCCTTGGCCCTGGGGACAGCGCTCTCATGGCTAGCCAGCCTCTTGGGGTGCAGGAGGCAGCTGAGGGGGCTCTTTGCAGGCCCCGTGAAGTACTTAAGTGGGGGTCCCGGGGCGGGGGGCTGCCCTGCAGAGGAGGAGGCCCTTCTGTTCCTCTTTCCGGCAGGCTGCGGCTTAGCCTGTGATTAGCCACTAATTGCCGTGTTCTTTGTCCTGTAGTTTGGACAAAGAAGGAGCAAAGATAAATCCTCTTTTGTGAGCGAGTCGGCTGGCTGGGCAGGCTGGGAGCGGTGCCAGCAACTTGCTGGAAGGTAAGAGACAGCCTGGCCCGGCAGAGCGGGTGGCGGAGGCCCTGCCTGGGAGACAAAGCCTAGGGCCACCGGAGAGCTTCAGACCCAGCTACTCTCAAGGACCCTGCAACAGAGGCGGGCGGAGCCTGTTCTAAGGGCCAAGCAGGCTCTTATCTTTTTTTGCTGTCTTACACATTTCAGTCCCACACAGTGGGACTTGCAATGTCTTGCAAGATCTCCAGTGATCTTGAGAGTTCTTATTAGAGTTACTTCTTAATTATTCACTTTGTAAGTGGCAGAGGGCCTGCTTAGCACAGGACAATGACCCGCACTGCATGCCCAGTGCTACCGGAAGGGCTGTCCCGACGGGCTTGGTTCTGTGTTGTTGCCTAGTGGACTGCCTGCCTCTGTGTACATAAGAAATGAGGAGACTTTGTCAAAATGTTTCTTTCAGCTGGAAAACTACACAGCTGCCTTGCAGATGTATACTTATACATTCGTCACACCAGGGCGACATCCCCCAGGTGGAGACTGTGGGTGGAGAGCTCCAAGCTGACAGAGAGGAGCCATCCCACCACGCCAGTCACCATCGACACCACTATCACAAGACCTTCAGCACTAGTCGCTGCAGGGCCCTCGCCACACAGCGTCTCATGTGATGCCCGTCCTGGGTCCAGGCTGCGCTGGAGGCAGTGCCCTGGCTTTCTGAAAGGAAAACTTGGGCTCAGAAGGCTCAAGCAATTATTCCAGGGCCACGCAGCTAGCAATGCGCACCTTCTGCGTTTCGCCCTCTTTGGGCTGTCTGCCTGCCTTCTCTTTACCCCTGGGGTCACAATAGTGGGAGAGAAAGTGTAGGCTCCAGGCTCTCTCAGTGGAGAGTCGGTTCTGACGGGTTTCCTCACTCCCACGCCAAACAGCTCTCACTGCCAGAACAGAGGCCCCAGCCTCATCTCAAGCACACAGCAAACCCGCTCCTGATGGCGGTCGGCTACCGCATTTTCAAGCCCTTTATAAATGGAACCCGTGTTAACCAATTGGAGCAACTGTATTTTAAAATTCAATTTAGCTGTCAAAATGGCCTCAACTGTTCTACCATCAATCTTATCTTTCTTTAAAGATGATGGCTTTTAGTAGTAGGCAGTGGCCTACACATCACCATCTGCTTCGAATCTGAAGGATGGAGTGCAGTCAATTAGCCGGTAGCAGAAAGAAGAGCAGAGAAAGCCCCCGGGGAATCACACCCTTCCCACTGGACGGCGTCCTTTCTCTTTATTAATTATTAAATTATGATTCTCTCCCTTTTCAATCAACTCAAAGCCATAAATGCTTATCTCAATCAGCGTGCTGAGCCCCAGGCGAGGCCGGGTAGATCCTGCAACAGGAAGCCATCCTGCAGCAGGCGCGCCCCAATCCAGCAGTTACTTTCCCCAACGCCATCTGTCTTTGTTTTGCTAAGCCACTCACTCAGACCCAGCAGCACCCCGCGAGCTCAGACAGCCATAAATCGTGCAGCGCTCACACGCCACGCTCGACCACAACGGGTCACGAATCACGTTTCATCGCTTTAGTTTCTAGCAGTGCAATTTAGACTCTTTTTTTGTAGTTGGCAAGCTTGCTAAAAACCCCTGGGAAGTAAATAATATGAAATTGTGTGTGTGTGTGTGTGTGTGTGTGTGTGTGTGTATGTGTGTGTAGCGCCAGGCAATAAATTATTATTATTTTTTGTCTTTTTGAGACAGGGTCTGACTATGCAGTTGAGGCTGGCTTTGAGCTCACTTTGTAGCCCAAGCTGGTATTGAACTCCCAGTGATCCTCCTGCCTCAGCCTCCCGAGGGCTGGGATTACACGTGTGCACCACCACACCGGGCTCAGTAAATTAATTTCTTAAGAGAAACTATCCGTCATCAGTATTGTTGCAGTACCTAAGTTAGAATGTTGTAAGCATCGATCTAATTTATACAAAAAGTCATTCTCCTCACGTAAGCCAGTGACACAGTATAGAAATAATCGCCATCAGCTGGTAAATTACCTATAAAGTTGATTTCGATTCACCGCTTTATTAACCACAGTGTATGTGCACCCTGAATTGCTAATATTTCCTTTAAATTATAATCTGTGGTGATACCACGGGGCTGTGTTGGGAAACCTCCGATGATAATCATTAACACAGTGTAATGCAATACTTAAGATTTATCAGGCTCTTATTAACTCTGTATTACAGTATAATATAATGAAATGCAAGCTTATTTCTTCCAATTCAAAATCTAATATGATGCTTGTGCCATAAATTAAGTAAACTTCAAAATAATGCATGGGACTGCAGGATAAAGTTAATTTCTGTCATTAATGCTGTTGTTTATACATGTTCTTCATTGTTTTTTGTTTGCTTACCCTAGATACTTGGAGCTTATAATTATTTGATTAACATCCAACTGTATTTCTCTTTTCTTGACTAAGAAGTAGAAATATTTCAAACATCAAAGTTGATTTAAATAGGCTACATCCCTTGGGAAATTAAGAGGAGGCAGCTCACTGCCAGGGTTCTTGGAGAATTTCTACAGAATTCAGTTACTGCATAACTTTCTAGAAATAAATTGATGGTACATCTCGGCAGATGTGGCAGTGAAGGGCGGGAATAGATCTTCTGGGCCACATCATGTCTGTCACCTCCAAGAGACCAGGCTGATGCACAGTCAGGTGCATGACCTAATACAAATGGTATTTCTCATTCTCGTTTTTTCAGATGGAAATGTAGGATAAGACAAAAGCCAGGAAGAAACTACAGTAAATCCTATGAAGGTGGCAACAGGTCGGGTCCTAGAATTTGGTTCTTGTCATTAGCCTTGGTGTTGGTCTGTTCGAAGGTGTCTGTGGGACAGCTTTGCCCCACTCCCGGCTCTTAGATGTCACCTCTTGTGTGAGTCACTGTCTTCCCGATCTCTCCTTTTCCAAAGGTAGACTAGTGGCTTCCAACAGATGAGGGGTTGTGACCTGTACTCTGCCTATGACTTCCTTTCTAAATCTTGGGCAAGCCTCAGTTTTGTGAGATGGGGGCCAGGCTACTTTCCTCCCAGAGTAGTTGGTGTGTTGTTGTAAGGGAACCCATGCCACATGACCCATGTGGAGGACTTGGAACCATGAGCTATTATTGCTATAAATGTATGACATTCTACCCAAAAGGAATAGAAGTTAGTCATGGTCATGGAGTGGCAGCGAGCGTGTCTAGTCTGGAGATATAAAAGATCCTGTAAGAGGACGGGCTCACGATGTGAGGGTAAGTGCAGGGGACACTCGAGTGTCCCCAGGATGCATCTGCTCTCAGCTTTATGCCTGAGTGTCCCCGAGTCTCCCTCCACTTACCACTGCACCCGCACAGACCTGCGTATCTCAGCGTCAATCCCCACCTCTTGTGCTCCAGTTTTAGAAGCAGCGATTTCCTCTTTCCGGTGAACTTTCCCATTGTGCCTCTCTCTTCATTTCCTGTTGCTCCTGGTTCTTGCGCCATGGGCCATCCCTTTCATTGCCGGCCTCTCCCTCTCCCCCATAACAAATCCCCCCCACCACAGTCCTTATCCTAACTTCTCAAGCTGGCGGCCGCATCCATATCTTCTGCTCTTTACATCTCCTCATTGCTCCGTAATGGCTGCAGCCGGAGTTCCAACACCTTGCTCTATAGAAGTTCCCCTCCCTGAGACTGAGTCCTGTCAACTACATTCACTTCCTGTCTGGATTTTTTTGCTGTTTGGTGGCATTGGCTACTGTCCCATCCTGAGCGCTCTATTTCCATGGCTCCCATGATGTCAGCCTCCCGCTTCTTTTCCTTTTCTGTCCTCTTCTTCCATGCTCCTTCCTTGGGAGCCCCTTTCTTGTGCTTGGAGGTCTCAACCACACACACTCTGGGATCATAGTTTCAACCGCCACCTTACCTGCCATCCAAAAGCCGCACACATTAGGTGGTTGAAACAGAGGAACTTACCTTCTTACGGATGCTGACTATAAGGCCAGGGTGTTAGCAGATACAGTTCTACCCTCAGGCCTCCCTCCCTGGATTGCTTTCCCACTGAGTCCTCACATAGCAGCCCCTAGGTCTCGGTCCTAATCTCCTTTTATAGGGACACTCAGGTTATTGGATTGGGGTCTGCCAATCCAACCCTGTTTACACTCATGACCTGTATGAAGACTGTACCTCCAAATACAGTTGGCATTGTGAAAAATCATAGTGGACATTCACACAGGAACTTGCTGAGGCCTGGGAAAGACCACGCAGCCAATCAGCCTAAACGTATATCTCAGTCTCAGAGTCTGCCTTTAAGATGAGGACAATCAGCTGCTACGGGACACTGCCAGCACAGCTTCCCCCAGGGTGGTATGACATTGAGGCAGGCTTCTCCTTGCTAAAGGCGCACTCCCTTGGGTGTCTCGCACTTCCATCAGTAGCGCTCCCATCAGTTAGCGCAAGACTGTGTTTCACTCCCTCATTTCCTGTGCCTGCGTGTCAGTCGACCTCCAAGACACCTCAGTCCTGTCCTTTCCACTCCCTCCCCACAGAGGCGTCCAGAGAGCACACTGTGTCCATCTCTGGTCCTCTTTCAGTTTTGCTCTACATAACTAAAGACAAGGGCTCCAAGCCCCAAGTTTGACTGCATGACTCCCCCACCTCCTGGGTGGCCCTCACTGTCTACAGAATGTGGCCCCCACTTTTTCATAGGGCAGATGAAGCTTGTAAAGTCAGGACCATCCTCACGTGGGAAACCCAACATTTCCCCATTGTCCACTTCATGTTGCTTGCACTGGTGACACCAATCTGCTTCTGGTGGCCCAGACACCCCACTCCTCCATACACACAGGTCCCCGCCGCCACAAATGCTTTCCTCTTTGCCAAGAATGCTGCTCCCCATCTCATTATTTGTCTCTCCTTCCACATTGCCTAGTTATCTCATCTACTAAGTCACCAATTAATATCCCCCAGAAGGCCTTAGGGGTTAGCTGCCCCTTTTTGCTTTCCCTTTATACCTTATTTATATCTATTATCATACTGATAATACGGCCATTTCCCTTGCTCAGCTGAGTCTCCTGGGGGCATAGACCGAGCCTATTAATCTTATTCAGTGAAGTGACTTCATCCACACCATCCCTGCTATGTAACAAGCACCCCAAACACCCCTTAGTCTTGGTATCATGCTGTCAGCAAACCCAGCTGTGAAATTCAGCTGAAGCAATGGGTTCCCGTCCTGTCTTAATCTCTCAGTAACCCTTCAGACATGTTCTTTACTTCATACACAGAGAGGGTATGTTTAAATTCTGAGAGTAAATAAGTATAGTAAATTTTCTACCGGGAAAAACAAAGCCACTAATCGGAATTAGTATTTCAGTCTCTGACTTAGATTAGTGATTCACAGCTTGATATACTCAGGCTCCTTTCCACCGTAGCTACAGACCAGTTCATAGACTGTTCAAGGCAAAATACATGTTTTTCTGAGGAAAGAATTAATCTTCATTTTCTGAAACATCTTGCAGAAGTTAATTTGGCAGGTTATTTTTACTGAAGGTGTTTATTTTCCTTGATGCTGATTTTGTGGTTTTGTGATAAGAGCAAATAATTGATGACCATCCAGAGAAACACTAGCATTCTGGTTAGCAGGGCAAGAGCCGCCACTTGTGCAGGCAAGGGGAGTACACCGGTGGACACAGGCACATCCGGCCAGCAGGAAAGTTAAACTCGCTGGTCAAGGAGTTTTGTCTGTGTCATTCACTTATTTACCATGACCACCTGGGAGGAAGGCCGGCGCACAATAGGCACTCAGTAAGTATTTGTTTGTTCAATAAATAAAGTACGTACCTTGCACCTGAAGGACCTGAGAGATGTCAAACCCTTGGCTGACTCGGACTATGACCACGCCGATCTCAAAGTCGAATGCATCACTGAAGGGGAAACGGGGGCATTAGTGCTTCTAATTGCTCGGTTAATGCTCAAGCTTTGGGTCAACGTTCAACTTGCTTTTAGGATGTTTGATGTCATGAACCCATTAAAATTTGCTTTAGAATACAGCCAAGAGCTGATGCGTTTTCTGTGTGTTTATTCTTCCTTTGTACCTTTTCAAATTACATTCTGGGTAGAAGCAACTAAATCCTTTATTCTGTAGCCAATTTATTCAAATAATACCATTTGCTAGAATTTTGATGAAAAGCCTGTGACATTCTTTTAACGAATTAAATCTTTTATAAAGTGAGCAAAAGCATCGTGGATACATTTACAACAGCGTTTTACTGGCTGCAAACACCCTTTAAAGAACAGGCTTTTGCCCCTGCCGGGAGGGGGCCTCGTGCACAGCGTCTGCGACGCCAAGCTCACAGCTCAGCCTGCCTCTGCTCCTCCAGGGAGCCTTTGCCTCCGACAGTGCACAGGGCATTCGCAGAGATACCTTTTCGTGGGATTGCTGTGCATCTGAGCATGGCTTTCTCCACACGCAACTCAATGAATTCAGTCACGCAGAAGAGAACCACAGGCTCTTTCAGTCACCTCTGCTCCTGGAGTACGCATTGCCCTGGTTGTAAAGCACACTTGGTCTTTTGAGTCACCTGTGGCCTTTTTCTGTGGGCGTTTCCTTGTGTAATCTTTTACAGGGTGGAAATTAGAATCCCTAACCATTAGGACATCTTCCCCATAAGCTCTGTGGTTTGTGATGGTCCCACCATACACAAATAAGTTCCCAGTAGCCAAAGTCAACCTGAACTTTCAGATGATATAATGAGCTTAATGCAATATAAATATCTACTCAAAATTCAAACCATGAAGCTGACTGATCTTCATTTACCAAAATAGACCCAATTGGCAAAATTTGCCACAAGGTAAATTCCACATAAGCAAATCTTGTCTGTAATTATTCCTGATTATGAAAAAAAACCCCAAAAAACCAGACAATATGTTCTACAGAAATAACCTGGTTACTGCATGAGGTAGAATAACAGGCCCTCAAGGATCCTGAATTTTGGGAATATGTTTCCCTACCTTACAAAAGAGGCTTTGTGGATGAGATTAGGCTAAGGAGTGTGGACTGGAGAGATTACCCTGGATTACACAGTGGGCCATGTATATCACAGGGTACTTAAAAGTGAAATTAGGAGGCAGAGGAGGAGGTCAGGTAATGTGACAGACATGACATGGACTTGGCTACTGCTGGCTTTAAGGGCAGATAACAGGCTGCTGCTAGAATTTTGAAAGGACAGCTAAGCACTGTCCCCTCAGGGCTCCTGAAGGCAACCACAGAAACAGGTTTGAATTAAAATCAAACCATACTTAAGAATATTACAGACATTTGAAATTGTTTATTCAAAGACAAATAGTATAACACTGCCATCTTGTAATAGTGTTAGTAACATTGCTTTGTGGAAAACGAAAAGTAAAACCATCAGAAAGGAGAACGCAGTCCAGATCCCTGACTGTCTTCATTGCTGTGATAGCAAAGGCAGCTGATGTTAGCTGGGTTTTATATGAGAATAAACGTGATCCCCTTAACACTGAAACCAGAGGCCTCCTTGGTTCATCTCACTGGGCCTCACTGTTTTGGTTCTTTGCATCTCTAGAATGTTCGGAGGGTCGGGAGGCTGTGCGCTGATCTCAGGTAATTCTGTGACAGAAGAATGCGATTTCTGAAGAGTCACAGGTTTTCTTCTTTTTGCTTCTCTTTCCTCCCTTCTCCCTTTTGGTCCCCCAGGTGAAAATGAACTTTGACTGAAGGATCTGAATAACAGAGGGACAGACCTAGTGTATTTCCAAGGCCACCCAGCAACTGATGATGATTCTGAATTTATCAACATTCCATTTGCCGAGCCTGCTAAGTTCTGATCCTGACCTCCGGGCTTGGCCTCAACCTTGGGAACTTAAGCACCGGCAGAAGCAGAGGGCAGTCCCTGGTATCCAGTTAGGTCTGGAAATGATGTGTTCAACGTGTAAGGTATGTACACTAAAAGGCTGCTGAGTGAATCTCTGTTGGGTAAGTAGTACAAATCGTTTCAGATGGTAGAAATTACCTTCCTTTGCTTTTTTTCTTTTTTAAAATTTTTAAAAAATCTTCTTTTTATTTGGTACAGGGTCTTGCTATGCAGCTCAGACTCATAGTGATCCTCCTGGCTCAGCCTCCTCTATTCTGGGACTACAAGCTTGTGCCACCATACCCGGTTTCTGTGGTGGGCTTGGCACAGGACCACCATACCATGTGGTACTGGGGATCAAACCTAGGTCCTTGGGCTTGCCGGGCAGAGCTTAGAAGGTTTTTGTTGTTGTGTTGTCCAGCAATGCCTAATACCATGATGACTGAAATGCTCAACATATACTTGTGTTGATGGGTGAGGGTTTCTGTCCTGTATGGCGTGGACATCTAAGTGCAGCCAGAGCTCTTGTGCTATATTCTGTGCCCGCACTGTGCGACCAGGGCCTGTTCTGTGTTCTGCGCTGTGACATGCTGGCTTGCCCACATCCCAGGCAAAGGAAACTTGCCTTGTTTTTGTTGGGCCGAGAGGACGACTGTTGACATGGTCAACATGGCCTCTGTTGTCTCATTAAGCAGTTTCAAGCCTACGAGAAGGCTCAGTTTTCCAGAATGTGCATCTTTGCATGCATTGAATTTGTTTTCTTTCATTTCAAAGGAGAGACCAAGCTGGGTGGGAGGTGGTATCTGCGGGCTTTTGGAGGCAGCATAGTTTTGAGGTTCTGTGCTTCAGTTTTGAATTTAGAAGGGGCCAGGTTTGAATCCCAGATCTGCCACTTATTAAATTTTGATTTTTTTTAGCATGTTACTTCATTTTTACTATCTGTATGTTCACTGGTGAAATGAAAACAGTAACAGTAGTTATTTCAAAGTTGGTTTTTTTTTTTTTTTTTGTGAGAATGAAACTGGATGGCTTATGTTAAGGATGTTAGTCTGGCTCTTGCTAATTCTTTAAGGTCTATCATTACCACTTGTTTCCTAAGGTTCCTCAAATATTTAGCCATTAAATATCACCTGCCACCTGAAGCTGTCTTTCACTGCATAAATCAGAACTGGAAGCCATCTGACTGCGGTAGTACTTGGCCTGTGGAGCCCCCGTCAGCAGCAGGAGGTCTGGGGTTCAGGACAATGCAAATGCTGCACAGGCTCAGAAGACTGCATCTGACCTAGCTCTACAGCCAACCCAGCAGTCCAGCTGTCTCAAAGGCAAATTGCTTCTTTACCCATCTGTCGGTTGCTTTCAGTCTTGTAAGGAGACTACAAGGCTGTTACTCTTCAATGTCACCCTTCCCTTTGATGCGAAGGCTGCCCCCTGCTGGCCTCCATGGTGGTTTGTGCTCTCCCACCTCTGTATAGCAGGAGAGGGATGGACGCTCTGTGTGCAGACCTTTTAATCTAGCCCAGCTCCGTTATGCGTGGTACAGGTTATGCCCCGCCCTGGTTAGTGCATTATAAACACCAGCCCGTCCCCAAAGCCAGCACTTACTGGATGATTCCCACGTAGTTCTCAGTCTCTGTCAAGGGCGCTTTCCTCCAGTTTTTTTTATATCCAATCACCAGCGTGTTTGGCTTCATTCTCCCTAAGCCCGAGGCCTAAGCAGGACACAAACACATGGGCAATCCTTACCATACTGGGAAACTACAAGCGCAAATGAAAAATAATGTCCAACAGAGCACTGAAGTAATGTTCTGAAGATGCCAAAGATTAGATTACATTTTAGTGCATGTCCTTCATGCCCGTACCCAAGCATAAAATAGAAAGATTAGTTCTAAATCATCTCAGCCATAAATGGATTTTAGATGACAAAAATGTAGCTTTTCTAAATTAGCAGTCATTTGCATTTCTTCTGACATGCTCATTAAAATGGTTCAATAATTTAAAATCTAGTAAGGGTCGGCTTAACTGTTGGTGTGCATGTTATCGCTCAGTGGTTCAAGGCTCAGGTCCACCTGTTCTACCCATCGTGTATTAGCAATAAAATCCATGTTTGGGAAATTCTTATGTTCAAGGATCATTGAGATCTTTCTTATTTATTGAAGAAAGAAACGAGTGAACTATGTTTCTGAAGCCTAATCTCCTTGCAGGACAGTACCATCAATATATTCCATATCAGAAGTTTCATTTTCTTCCATTAGATGACAGGATAGGGCTTCCAGCTAATCAAATTTAATTTGGCAGTATTAGCGGGCTCCTATTAATTGCAAAGTGCTCTGCTCAGTGTTGTGGGAGAGCAGTGTGACAGATTCACTGGTGTTAAGGAACTTAGAATAAAAGATATGCACTCATAATTGCTGAGGCCATAGAGGCTCTGACAGAAACACGGGGCAGAAAAGCCAGAGGAAGGGTCACAGACAGTTCCACGAGAAGGGAGGTGTTTGCTCTGAGTCTTGGAGTTTGCTTAGATGCTGACAAAACAAGAAGTACAGTGAGAGAAAAAGAAGGCCACCAAGATTATGGAGACCGTAAAAGAAATGATTAGATCTGTACTCCATGTGTCTGTCTGTCTATCTATCCATCCATCCATCCATCCATCCATCCATCCATCCATCCATCCTATCTTTCTACATATCTGGTAGCACTGGGGATCGAAATTTTACACTGAGTTACATCACCAGCTCTTTGTAAAAAGGTACCGCTCTGTCTTGCTTCTTGCTCATGACGCCCTGTATTCAGAGAAGTTCATAGGAGTTGATGCACAGGCAAAATTCTTGCCCTTCATTCTGGACAAATATAAAGATTCTTTCCCCTGCCTGTACTTTTTACTGGTTTGCTCTTATTCTTTGTCTGTGTTTGCATTTCTACCTGAAATTTTATTATTTTACAAATCTTTTGTGGTAATTTTCAGAGTACACCCTTCCCAAGACATCTGAAAGATAGCTCCCGGTAACACCCATGTGTACAGGTTGGGACCCATGGGTGGTAGGTGGGAGCAAGCTTGCTGTGGGTCTTTCCGTGTTGACCTGATAGGTGTGGCAGCATCGGTGCCTCCAACACTCTCAGCCTCCGGAACATTCCAGCCTAGCTATGATTCCTTCCTGGCCATAGACGCGCCAGAGTTCCCGGGTGCGGGCCTAGATTCCCACACTCCTGAATCGGGCAGCTCTGAGAGCCCAGTGTTCCGCTCGGGTGCACAGCACCGTGGCTTTTCAACTCTACCCAAGCCACCATTTTATAAAGCCAAGCCCTGACATTTCTGAGAGTCTCTTGGATTATTTAAAAGATTTTCTGGCACTCGAAGGCATGGGAACCTAGGATTTTATGCACTGCCTGTAGAAAAGGCAAAGAAGGAAAGGAAAGAGAAAGAGAGCAAGGGAGAAAAACTGAAAAGTGGTGGACTTGGATGCTGCGCCATGGGAACGATGCTACTGCATTGACTGATGGAAATAACTCAGGAGGCCTTTACCCGCACACATTTATTTAGGTGAGTTTAGCAGCTGCACTCACACCAACCGTAAACGAAAGAAGGGGGAAAAATGCCGGACTTGGGCCTTGCTCTACGCAGTGTGAGAAGCAGAGTCTGAGGTTTTAATAGAATCCCTAAGGCCATCAAGCACGGGGACAGTTTGCACTTCAGTAAGCGCAGGGCGGTGGGTCTTGTGGGTCCGACTGCCTGGCCAAAGGCAACCTCGCTCGGTTCCTCGCTAGTTCCTAGAACCTCCCTCTGCCTTGTTCCTGCCTCGCCGCCCCCAGGAACTGGAAATGGATTTCTTAGCCAGCGCCCTGGTCTCCGACACCCAGCCGTTGGATTCCGGAGCTTGGGGCAGGCAGGCGCTAACTGTCTTGGGCTTTTGCTTCCCTCCCACGCGGGCCTTACCTGGAGGAGACTGCGGACTCCGTCCCGGAAATAGTCCGCCGCCACCGCAGCGTAAAAAGCCTTGATTTTGTTCTTTATAAGCCAGGCCTGCTTTTTAGCCATGCCACTGTTCATCTCCTTGACACACAGCTTGCGCGGTCCCTGTGCGACACAATCAAGTGTGGGTTAGCAGCCCGCGATTACACATCACACCGCCGTCGTTTCCCGAAGGACAAAACCAGCCAGCGATGGGCTCTTGAGTAGCGAGAAGGGAGAGAGGGCAGAAGGCCGTCCTGACCCGCGTCCGCGGCCCAGCCTCCTGCGGATGCGCCTCCACCGCCCACAGCATCCCTTTCCGCCCGGTGTCCGGCGTTGCACGCTGAATGGCAAGAGTGCAGAGTGTGTCTCGGCACAGGCGGAAAGGAAAGTACCGGAGGTGCGACTCGGGCTATCACACAGCCCCCTCAGCTGAGCGGCGGCGAGAGCCGCTTCCAGGAGCACCTCCCGAGCTCGGCTGGAGCGCCATCCAAGCAAGGGACCGAGCTCTGGGGAGCCACACGGGTGAGCTGGAGGCCCGCCGCGGCTGCTGGGGTGCGTGTGGGCACACTCGCGCTCAAGCGGGTCCACGCTGCTCCCCCACTCCGGCCTGTCCCACGGCGGGGCGGACATTCCCGGATCCGTGACACAGCGAAAAGGGCGGGTACCCGGATGAGGCACGCCACGAGTTCAAGATTTACTTCTGGAATTAAGTTTTTTTTTTTTTTTTTCCTGGAACCGGGGATTGAACTCAGGCCCTTGCACTTGCCAGGGAAGCACTTATTCCACTGAGCCATCTCCCCGGCCCCTGGAATCAAGTTTTAACTAAAAAGTCACTCCTTGCTTCTTCTTCCTTAAAAGTCCCTGTTCCCGCTTTTATTCTTATGTTTTAATTCAACCCAGAGTATGTCTGATGATCTACTATGTTCCCGATGGGACAAACCTTGTGTTTTCTGCAAGAAATTCATTTCACGAAGAGATTTGTATTTTGTTCAGTTGTCCCATTGATTTCATATGAATCATATGAATCTCTTGGGATCTTGGCAGAGTGCAGTGTTTATATCTGAAGCAGGGCTCGAATTTCTGTGTTTCTAACAGACCCAGAGGGGGCTGGTCCTGAGGGAGTTGGATGGGAGAGAAAGGACATTGGCTTGCAGGAAAAAGAGTGCAAGGCTGGTGGTCAGACAGAACTGGCCTCACATCTGCTGGCCTCACAGTGGGCCACTTTGGAAGCAATCTGATCTCTGAACACTGAACTCATTCCAGCAATGGGAACATGTTCTTCTTCCCATGCAGCTGATTCAAGCAGATGCCTGCTTCAGTGGGTACAGTGTAGGCTCGCACCCAAAGCTGACTTCTATCACCTTTAAAAAAAAAAATGAAAAATCTGTTATCTACTTTACAGGATCTCACTACAGCTTGGACTTGTGGTGATCCTCCTGCCTCAGCCTCCCCACCCTGGGATTAGAGGTGTGTGCCACCACGCCCAGTCTTGGTGGCCAGCTCGGTGTGCCTGGAGATGGGGCTAGCACGGCATGTGGTCCAGGGGATTGAGCCCGGCTCCTTGTGCTTGCCAGGCAGGTGCTTAGACTGCTGAGCTATCTCCCCAGCCACTGACTCCTATTATCTTAAGCAGGCACTCACAATCCCATTGAAGAAACAGATTGATCTCTATCACTGTGTTCACTGGGTAACAGAGCTGGAGGACTCCGGGGTGCAGGAGAGAGGGTCCCGGGTCTGGCTCTGCACTGACAGACTGATGCCTTGCTTTGTCCTGCTTCGTCTCTTGACATATGTGTTCCCATACAGAGAACTTAGGCACTGAAGAGCAGGATCACTTTTATCTCCATGTTGCTATGGAGCTTTGTTTTAGATGTGGGTATTCCACATTGAGATGTATTAGAAATACAAAACATACACTGGATCTGAAAGCCTTAGTCCAAAAAATTAAAATATCTCACAAATATTTCCATGTTGATTGCATATTGAAATAACATTTTGGGTGTATTGAGTTAAGTAAAACAAATTATTGAAGATGACCTATTTCTTTTTACGTTTTTAAACTGGCCACTAGACAGTGTAAAATTACACAGGCAGCACATACAGTATTAGATTTCTGCCATTCAAAGCTAGGTGAGTTGTGAGATCCCTCCCACTTTAATATTCTGCTTCAATTGGATCAAGTTCTTCATATACTTAGTTTCTAGAAACTGCTGACTTGCCAAAACAATCTGACTCACTGACATTAAAGTTAAAAAACACCCTGGTTCCACCAAAAAAAAAAAAAAAAATGAAGTTAAAAAACAAGAAACTTTGGTGGAGATAGAAAAGGAAGAGACTCGGGGAGGCCAGCTGTGGAGCCGGAAGACCTAGATCCAAGAGAGATAAGCTACTGTACATCAAAGGCTGTTCAGGCCCCCAGAATGCCAGTGCATTTGGAGCCACCAGTCCCTCTTTGGGCACTTTAGCCTCCACCTACCAGAAAAGAAGGATTATTTTATTGAAGAAAGTTCGATGGTAACAACAGCCATTAGACAATAGAATAACCAGCAGCTAGGAAAGATGAAGGCCCATCAGTATATCGAGTTGTACCAGAATGACTGGGAGCCCTTTGGGGAAAAGGCATTTACTGAAATAAATATAGTCTAACGTATGTCTTTTACTATTACAAAAACCTAGATTGAACATTAATTGTGACAGAGAGATCTATTTTAATGACTAACTTTGCCATACTGGGATGTCATAAGAATATTTCACGTAGAGTCTTCTTTTTGCTAACAGCTATTATAAAATCCTTGTAGCAAACTTATTAATGCGAAGCAAGGCTGCAAACGCAAATGGAGCACAGATGAAGCAAGCCGACAAGAGAGAAGATGTACTGGAATGTAAGCATTCAACGTTCAAAGTTGTCATAACCACAAAAAGGACTCTGCCACCCAGTTAATACATCACAGAGCTTGGCTCTAGTTGGCACCCAAGTTATGAGTACATAAATTAATTCAGTATTTGAACAAAGAAATGTTGAATGTCTAACATGTACAAAGGGTGATCAAAAGATGTGGTAAGTATTTAAGTTAAAAAGAAAACTTATTACCGTGAAAGACACATTACCAAGAATGATGAGATAATTGCGTTCAAAGTGAGGGAAAGTCCTTTAGGGTTTTCATGAAGAGTGGGTGGCAGTGTGTCTTTTACTGTAATACCTTTTAATGTAAACAGTCACTGTACTTTTTAGACCACAGTTTGTTGATCAAATGTGTATAGTGATTTTTGTCAAATAAAACCATCACAATGTGTCATCCTCCACCTTATCCACCCAATCAGATGACATGTGACTTCTTCCTTTCTCTCTCTCTCTTTCTCTCTTTCTCTCTCTTTCTTTCTTTCTTTCTTTCTTTCTTTCTTTCTTTCTTTCTTTCTTTCTTTCTTTCCTTCTTTCTTTCTTTCTTCTTTCTTTCTTTCGTGGAACCAGGGATTGAACTTAGGGCTTTGTGCTTGCCAGACAAGCGCTTATTCTACTGAGCCATCTCCCTGGGCCCCGACACGTGACTTCTGTTTCTTCCCCAAAGCCAAAGCACCCATGAAGAGTAAATGTTTTGAACTGACTGAGGATGTGGAGGCAGCTACAACAGCACAACTAAAGACACTCAGGAAAGAGGATTCCAGACTGCTCCAGAAGGGGACAAGAACAATGGGATAAGTATAAGTGAAGTAAGCGAAATGGAGGATTTTGACAGTGATTATAGCACTGTGTCTTTGACCGTGATACATTTAAAAAAATTAAACATTTACCATTAAAAAACCCTCATACACTGTAGAATAACTTGGACAATGACGTAGAAAGGGATAAAGAATTTCTAATTAGTCTGGAAAGGAAGTGGATGTGACACTACTTGAAATCAATGACTACAGTGAAAAAGAACTTTTCAAGGGAATTCAAAGACCACTGGAATCAAGTAGAAGAATTCAGGTGAAGTATAATATTCTTTTCAGCTTTTATTTTTTGAAGCACTGAGGGTCTTATTTGCCCATCTGCATTTTCATTTCTCCTGTGGTTGGAACTGTGAGTTTCCCTTTCTGACTTGGCGCCTGCTTAATCTCATTGTACATCCTAGCGGCCTTCGCAGATCACTCTGTTCTTCTCTTGTTTTAACCGGGGAGTCTACTCAAGACCTTGTGCTTGCTGGGCAGCTGCGTATGCCGCAGAGCTATGCCCCCGACGGATCACTCAGCTCACTCTGTTCCTTCTGCATTCGGTCATGTCATGATCTTACTAACACCATAACAGGCACTCACTGACAGAAAGAGAATAGATCCAGCTAAAAAGAACACCCTTTCTCCCACAGGGATGTGGAAGTTGGGGTTAAGGGGAGGCTCAAGACAGAGAAATGAGTAGAATTGTAGTTTCCTCGCAGTATTCTGGGCTTGAATAGTCCTACTGTACACCACAGAAGTGAGAAACGGTTGTGCGGCCCGAGCTTTCTTGAGAAATCCTCATGAACAAATTTGAAGACAGCTCACGATAGCTGGGAGTGGTGGGCATGCTTGCAATCCTACCCGCTAGGGAGGCTGAGGCAGATAATTTAGTGAGAGCCACTCTCAAAATAAAACTTTAGAAAGGGCTAGAGATGTAGTACAACGGTGGAGCTCTTGTCTACTTGCCTGAGGCTCTGGGTTTACACACACACACACACACACACACACACACACACACACACAGAAGCATTTTAGGTTTGAGGTATTTTCTGATTTTTCAAAAACAAAGAGAAAAGCTAATGGGGGTTAAAAGGATCTACATGTGGAAAATGGCCAAAAGCCCTTCTTTTTCTCTTTGTAAGAGGGAGACAGAGGGCCGGGGAGATGGCTCAGTAGAATAAGTGCCTCCCTGGCAAGCGCAAGGTCCTGAGTTCAATCCCCATTTCACACACACACACACACACACACACACACACACACACAGAAAGAGGGAAACAGGCCTGTAAAACAGGAAATATTGAGCCAGTGTAGACTTGAGCCTTGGGGCACAGGGTGAAAATACCCATAAACTTAGCATCACCCCTGGACAGGGAGAAGGCTTGAGCCTGGAGTCATCAAAAAAAGGACTTTGGGGGGCTGGGAGATAGCTCAGTAGAGTAAGTGCTTGCCTGGCAGGCGCAAGACCCTGAGTTCAATTCCCAGTACTAAAAAAAAAAAAGAAAAAGAAAAAGAAAAAAGAAAAGAAAAGAAAAAGAAAAAGAAAAAAAAAAGAAGACTTTAGCTGAACCTTGCACTGTTTCACTTCTTTCACAAAGTGAGTGGAAATATCTACAACAAAAGTTTTATCAACTGTTAATTAGAAGAGGTAGCATATGAGTCTCAGTAATTTTCTACTGTTGAGTCATATAACATGGTTGGATGCCAACCATTTTAATCTGCAAAAGTATAAATTTTATGATTTAGCCTGTCACTTTTCTTAACATTTTGAAATAAAATAGCAACAATCTTAAGAAAAAAACCCCCTCTGTGTTTCTCCCACCAGCCTGACATGGCGGGACTTGATGGACCGCTTTTAGCAGCGGGTACCTCTGTCTTGATGATACTGGCTTTATCTAGTTTGTATTCCTAATCCCAAATCGACGGAATTCACTTTCCATTTTGAAAAATAGCTGGTTTTTGGATTAATTTAAAAAGAAACCTTGCCTTTAAATGCAAAACTGGGAGGTAGGGTTGTAGGACTGTGAGGGCCTCCTGTGATGGGGAGGTATAGTGTGCCAGGGAATTAACTGTGTACACAATAAAGCCAGCTCATCTCCAGGGCCTGGTGTCACTGTGCTACCTCTTCACCTTCTAGCCATGACCTAAGTGAGGAACTCGGAAAGACAGACAGTGCTCATCAGCGTCACAGGGCAGAGGGCAGAACTGATGGAGGCTCCAGTCTGCCTCTCTTAACATTTACCTGTTCCTGACCCACAGGGTCTGGCTCTGCGTGGATGTGTAGATGGATCTGGAAGAGCCCAACTCCTCTGTCTCTACAGCGATAGGATCAAGGCACAAAAGAATGTACTTAGACGTTGAACGTGAAGCCTCTAGGATAAGACCATGTCACTGATTTATCCTATGATAGTTTAAATGAGGAGCATGGATGATATTTTAAACATTTCCAAGGAGGGTTCCTTGAGAAGGTTGCACAAATTTGTTTTGATGAAGAGTCCCTCTTCTAAAATCTTAAGACACAGTAAAAAAACAGTAAGAGGAAGGGCGATGAGGCTCTGGGAGTAAGAGCTGGTCTTGGTTGCAGATGGCGGCAGCTGTGGCCTTGTGCTTTGGCTTACTCTGCTAAGACTCCAGGGATCATGGCCCCACTTGATAATACAACAGCACCTCAAGCAAGCACTGCAGTAGCTGAAGGCCCGAGCAGCAGAGCCCGGAGCCAACTTGTGCAGTCTGTGCTAAGTCTCACGGGGCTGCGCATGTCACTGGTCCTATGCTATCAAATCACTGGACTTGCCCAAAAGTGTAAAACCTAGTCTGTGGGACTCTTTAGGTCTTTGTTGGGGACAATATATTTCTGGATAGCGAATGGCAACTAAACATGCCAAAAATAGCAGCAATAGTAATATCAACTACAATCAATCAAGTATTTACTATTTGACTGACACCCAGCTAAGCACTTGAAAGCTCATCTTATGCGATTCCCAGAGTACGCCCATGCTATTGGGGCTATTTTTATTACCTTCATTTCACCACCGAAAGGACTGAGTCAAAGAGAGATTAAATTATGAGCCCCAAAGACCTGCAGCCAACAGGCGACGCAACCGGGCCTGGAACTCGGGTTATTCTCCACAGCCCACAGGCACCAGTGTCCTTGAGTTAAAACCCAAACCGCCACTTTTCTTTCATCCCTCTCCTCCCCAGCGCTGCCTCATGCCTTCACAAGCCAGCCGGGTACCATGGCATCATGTCAAGCTCATGTCAGCTGACTCCATCCACACTCTTCCAAAACTTTCTTTGCAAAGATGATTGGCACCTGCACCTGGAGCCTAAAAGCACAGGCAGCATGTGCAACCCCAGAAATAACCAACTGGCGAGTCATTAGTGGATGCAATAACAATTTTCTGTCCCCAAGACAGCCTCTACGCACATCCGGGAGCAGGATGCTTGAGACCTCCACAGAGACACTGGTCCAGTAACATGTGACATCACCCCACTTATCTGTCACACAACTAGGGTCACAGGTGTAGACACTTCAGATGACGGGATATTCCAACATCATCCCCTTTATTCCCCCACATGCAACAAAGGGTTAATTAAAAGCAATATTTCTTGTCTGTGTTGAAGATATTTTCTCCCTCACCAATATATGACTGTTTATAAACCCAGTTCATTTCTCCAGTACGAAGATATTTTATTGCCTGCTAAACTAAGTTTCCTCTAAATTGCTGGAGAAGAAAAACACCCCAAACTGCTTATTTTATCAAAGTCGGCTCCTCTATCATATTGGCCAAAATGAAATCCACTAATCCAGGGCACCTAAGTTGATAATAGAAGAGAAGTCTCTTGATAAGCTTTTAAAAAATCCTCAGGAGCCACAGCCGGCCATTACCTCAGCTGTCAATCTCCTGTGTTCTGCAGGAGTCTCTCCACCCGCGCGCGAGTAATCTCATTTAGTTAGATTGTTTGAGTTACTGTCATCGTCTAGCCACCAAGACGGGAAGCGACGGGCACCTTCCCTTCCTCTAGCATTTAGAATACTGCTAGTGCAAACGGACGCTGAAGCGCAGCTCAGGACGCCATGTGGTAACCAGCCTCTGCACTGTCACATGGTTAACTGGCCCACGGTCACACAGCTTCCTGGCAGCCTCTTCCTTTGCAGATGGCAGAGGGGGACGCAATGGCTCTGACTGGGGCCAGTGCACCAGGGTGTGCCTTCTCCCAAACACAGTGCCAGGCACTCCAGGCGTCCTGAATAGATGTCCCAACGTGGCCACACTTTTGTGATATGACTCAGCACAAGATTTTTGAATCTTGACTTCTCAATCAATAAATAAAAATAGACCTTTTTTCTCTTTTCTTCCTCATGAGGCTGGGTATGGACCAAATAGGCCAAACCAAAGGAAGGTGATTGAGAAATACACCACTGAAGTACTACAGGAGTACATTGATAGATGCGGATTTTGAGGAGAGGGAGAGGGAAGGAGAAAGAGATGAGTGAGAATAGAAGACAACTAGCTTGAAAGATGTAGCCTTGTTAAATCAAGATTTTAATGGCTCTTCCCTACTAGAAAAATTGACCAATAATTATGGTTACATTGTAACACCTAGTTCTAATGCTTCTTAGGAAGACTACCAATATATTGTCATTCAGACATATATTTGCTGAACAAAAGGGACTTCATTTAGCTCTGTTTATTGGAGGGATGGGAAACACGGTTTAATTCTAAAGATGTCCACAGTGCAGGGTTTATCCAAATATTTAATCTCAACACCATGTGCTGTTGTCATTTATGGCCATTATGTCTCTGTCGCTGCTCGTCATTTAATCTATATAATAGTGTTCTATCTGTCTCGTTCCATCCTTTTAAATTTTTGTGGACAGTTATCACCCTGACTGCCTTCATTTTATTTGAGTCAGTTCTGTTTTTTCTGACTCCCAGGCTGCTATTTGGAGATATTTATCACTTTTAGTTGGTCTCCTTTGGAATTGGAGATCCATCCATCTACCCATTTAAATTCAAGATCACGGGCCCTGGCTGGTCGCTGCTCTATGCATCAAGGAAGAGGGCTCTTGTCCAAACTGTTCTGCCATTTCCCTGCATGGACTTTCTCTGCTCACCTGAAGCAACCAAGGTGGACAAGCGAGAAAAGCTCTTTCGGGGGTGGGATGATACTTACCACGAAGACTTCACAGCAGATGCACAGGCCACTGTTCTTGGTAAAGGCGTGAGTTATGTCCAAGAGGGCAGGCCTGGTCATGGGTGCCCCGGTTAGGACAATGCACTGGGGCCTGGAAGTAAAGAAAGGCAGATGAGAGAACTGGCTGCAAGAGGAGGCTGGAGGGCCAAAGGCTTGACTAAATGCAAAGATCTCTCTTCTAATGATTTCTTGGGTTTCCCACTGGAATTGCTGAATCACCTTGTGGAGGATTCCCCTGGAGGGCTCTCCTGGCAGGAAGGCTAGTCCTCTCCTTCCTGGCTGATCCTGGCCCTGTTTCCACCTACCAATGTGTACAGAGCTGACGAGGACTTTTCCTTATTGCATTTAAGCAATGCAACTCACTGCAGTGGAGGTGCTGATGGTAGTTTTTGAAGCAAACTAACAGGGCAGGCAGCGTTTCCTCACCCTGCAGCTCCTAAATAAAACACTTGTGGTTCTGGTAGGATGCAGAGCCGTGCCCCATGCTGTTGGCTAGGATTGAGCCTCAAGATATGGGTGATAATTTCCCAGGGCATAAAAAACACATCAGAGTTGAATCATGTACCCCAGAACATTAGATAGTACCTCAAACTGTGCTGTGCAGATTGCTCTCGTGCACATCCTTCTGTGGAGAGATGATGTGCAGAGGTGCCTGCAGGCCTCCCACACAGCCCAGCTCCCAGCACTCACCTACTTCCTTCCAGCCTCATGGTCACGCATCCTCAAGCCACTCCTCTCTTCTTGAATTAATAAAACCCAGGTGGGCCCTGGGCGGAGGCCTTGTTCCTGCCAGCCATCATCCCAGCAGGACTTGGCTCCCCATAACTACAAATATGCCTTAGGGTCTTTATTTTCACCGTGGATCACACTGGAAGTGGTAGATGCAATGAACTCACTAGAACTCCAAGAGTTTCTATGGGATTATAAATAGTACCTTCCTGGACTACGTAGAGGCCTGAGAAGGGCTCTCAGTACCACTTTGGCCATCCATCTTGCCACTTGCATTTTTACCATAGTCACAACATAAGCACAAAGTAGGGAAAAGGATAGTGGATTCCATTTGTCTGCTTTTCCCAGACACTGTGCCACCCCAGCTCTGGACACACACACAAACTGTCCCTCTTTAACCAGTATTTTCTGTCCTCTTTCTTCATCCTCCCTGCAAGTGTGAGAGAGAGCCCGTGAAGAGCTCAAAGCATTACTTGTCCTAGAGGAAATCAGTAAGCCACAAAGTCTTAGGCGGAGCGGATTCGATACAAGAGCTCTCTGAATCTTTCCCTTTGAGCAACTTCTCTACCTCCCTGCCAGGCAGGTAACACCTAGCCCCACGGGGGACAGTGGTTGGGGGTGGGGCACAGCTCCGCTCAGACGGAACGCAGGGAGCGCTTATCTGCAAGAAGCGCTCCAGGGCCAGTGTGGCTGTTTGGGGAATATGTCCACAGAGTCTGCAACTCCTCTGGTGTACGCATGTCCCATGAAAGAAAGCCACCTCCCACTCCTAACGCCAGGATATCCGAGACACCAGATTTACCTGAAGTTCTTCACGTGGTCTTCCACCGTGGTCAACTCCAGAGCATTGTCTAAAGCACTCACATAGGAAAGGGCCTGTGTGGATGAGCCCCAGTTCACATCTGTGGATGCAGGAAGAGGTTGGCACAGACAGCGCTGACCTTTTCTTTGTACACCATGAATAATTTTCACAAACCATTCTTTTCTATCCTTTTCCTTGGCTACACAGGCAGTGACGAGCATCCAAATTAGAGAAAATAGAATATAGTGCTTCCTAGAAAGAGCCTTGCATCCCTCCAGGAATACTAGGCGAAGCCCTAAACCCCAGACTTCTTTGCAGCAAAGGCTCAGACTGCACTGTTGACCCTGAGGTCCTGAGGATCTTGTGTGATGGGAGAGACCGAGAAGCAAATGCAGGGGGAAATGGTCAGCCCCTGACTCCACCAGGGCGCTTCTCGAATTCTTGAGAGCAAAAGAGGGCTTTCTATGCTGCAGGGAGTGCAGTCACCTCCACGCTTGGAAGAGCAAAACGAGGAGCTCAGAGATTCTTCTAGATCTCTGCAAAGAAGGTAAAGGATATTTACCAAGTATTTTAGTTTGACCCTTTAGAACCTAAACTTCATAACATGGGAAGTCAGCACTACCCTTCTTTCCTTCTTTCCTTCTTTC